ACACACACACACACACACACACACACACACACACACACACACACACACGTGTTATTTTGTACTGTGCCTAGCCTTTGGAAAGAATGTCCTCAGCTTGTTCTTTACTCTGTGAAGTAGGAAGTATCTTATATTTTGGTTTCAGGCACACTATTGTGTTGAGGCTTTTTCTGGTTTAATAAAACTTGCAGTAAAGATGTCCCAGACCAGACAGGCAGGTTTAGAGAAGAGCAGCCCACTTATTCTAAGTCCAGCTATAAGAACTTCTACATGATCTAGGGTGATTTTTCTTGGAAGCCCTCTATTCATTAAAAAAATACCAGTATCACACTATTTAATATTAAATGTATAATATTATTACAAGATGGTAAGATTGGCTTGGTACATGAGATGCATTTCTGGCACTGAGGAATTGGAAAAACATTTTATCAGACTAGAGTTTCATACTAATAATTAGAAGAAGCTAACAAGAAATGTTTGGTGATAAACTGTCCCTGATCTTGCAACTACTCCACAGTTTATTATGTTCTTATAATGCAGTTATTCTTCTGTGTGTGTTTAAATCCAGATTGCTCTAGATAGACTATTCAAGGTCATCAATACGGATTACAGCTGCCAAGTCACACACTTTTATAATCCTAAATTATGTGTGTTTAAACTAAATAAAAATTAGTTTCAATGCTACTTTTTCTAACAAGTCGCATGCACTATTAGATCATTCTTGAGCAAAAAAAAAAAAAAGAGTCACCTATCTGATCCTTTGAGTGAGGAAAAAAGCAGCGACCCCATCAAAAATATATAACAGTGAGAGAAATTTGAGGGAAAAAAAAGATTTTTCTGTAACAACAGCTCTGCAAATCTTTTAGAAGAGAGGCCTTGTAATGCATGGAAATGTGAACAAAGCACCTCTTCTCCTATCAGCACAGCCTACACATGGGAAAAAGCAGAATAGGTTTCTTTGTTTGGTGCCCTCAAGTCAGTCTTGACTCCTGACAAGTGCCTGGACCAATCCCTGCAGTTTTCTTGGCAGAGTTTCAGAGGCGGTTTTCCTAGAACTGAGAGAAAGGAACTGGCCCAAGGTCGCACAGCTGGCTTTGTGGCTTATGTGGAACTAGAAGTCGTGGTCTCCTGGTTTATAAGCTGGTGCCTTAACCCCTTCTCCCCCAGAACTGGCTCTGCTTAGTAGAGTAGAAAGTTAGCACCCACCCCTCTTCTAGAAGAATGAAATATTCTAGGAAATACTAAAAAGGCAGACTATTATATTTCCCTGGATGAGAAAAGGAGAAACATGTTCAGAATCAGATAATCAGAGTTGGAAGGGACCTTGTAGGTCATCTAGTCCAACCCCCCTCCTAAGCAGGAGACCCTACACCATTTCTGGCAAATGGCAGTCCAATCTTGTCTTGAAAGTCTTTATTTTTAAAGACAAAGTTCCCTACAGCTCCCTGCCCGCCCCACTTCAGCTCCAGGGTGATGGGATGAAGACATGGCCCTCAGGACATGATAGGATTAGCCTTCTAACCATCTCACAACATGATACCTGGAAAGATTACATCACCCAGCCTGGGACTCAAGACAACCTACACAGTTACCGCTACATCCATGGGAATCTGACAACCAATCAGGATACATTTCTTTCACAGGAACAGGAAGCAAGTTCAAAGCCTAAGAGAGGGTATACGTATATCTCCCTCTCCACTCCATGTCGTCAGCTACCCAGGACCAAACCATGTGGTCCTGTCCATCCTTCCAAGCAGCCTCCATGTTTCTAGCGTCTTTCTTCCCACTTGGAACTGAACCCAGATGAACATTTCCTCCAACAATAGGTTTATCTGATGATGATAACACCACGACCTCCCCTGCTTCAGTGGGACTTGCATTTGATTTCTGGTGGATGAAATATTTGAGAAAGGACCCTGTCTTTATTTACTTTGGCCCTAATAAATAAGCACTACTGTCAGATTTCCTCTTAGATTTTCTTGGATTCTTGCCACCTGGCTAGCAATGTCCTTTATAAATCTTTGCTTCAACTTTCTATTAATCTTTCTATTTTTTCAGAGGTTTTTTTTTAACTTTTGACATTGGATAGCGTAATGGATATACAGGGCATTTGATTATAAAATTTAACAGAAAATGGCATTGCAAACAAGGGGCATCATTACTCTTTCACAAAGATTTTAATTTGTGGGAGAAATGCACACAAAAACACAGGTGTTTTGCAGAAGAATTTAGCAGTTTGCTTCTTCATCAGTGAAGCAGTGATCTCTAACTGTATTCTATAACTGACACATTTATTAGTATAGTTCACTCTGTTAAAGTCTGTACATGAATTCAAGCCCAAATTCCCATCATGGTACAAATTCAGGTAACCAGCAGTCCTATTTAAAACCCAAAGTGTTACTTTTGTTCTTGTATTGCAAGTAATTTTCTGCAAAGCTTCAAGCCATTCACTCCCCAGGTTCATGTTTAGATTTGATGTATGTAGCGAACCTAACGCAGAGGTGGAGAATCTATTTCCAGCGCTAGATTGAATTGGTGGTTAACAAACACATGAGGGAGGGGGTCATGTGCCAGTGTAACTGGGGCCACACTACTGAAAGCACTGAGCCTCCGTGATATCTCCTCTCTCCTTCTCCCATACACCTTTGATGCATGCTAATATTGTTCCTCGACATAATTAACCAGATCCAGATATTGCCTTTCTGAAAGAAGAATACTGTCCTTTACGATAGTTTGCTTAGTGACGATACGACAGCACTGATAAAAGTGACTTATGACCGTTTTTCACACTTGCAACCCCATGATCACATGATCAAAATCCAGATGCTGTGCAACTGACTCGTGAGGTCATGTGATCGCCCTTTGCGGCTTCCTGACAAGCAGAGTCAATGGGGAAGACAGATTCACTTAACAACCGTGTTACTAACTTAACAACTGCAGTGATTCACTTATCATCCATGGCAAGAAAGGTCATAAAATGGTCACTTAAGAAACGTTTCACTTAGCAGCAGAAACTTTGGGCTCAATTGTGGTCATAAGCCAAGGACTAGCTGTATGCAGGCATAAACATTAAACATTTTACAGTAAACGGGCACCTTTCAGCTTTCAATATTTATGGAATGGACTTTAATTTACAAGTCCATATGCCTACAATATTTGGTTGTAAATGTGGCTAATCTGTCTGTTATACCCCTCTGAAGATGTTATTCAGTCTGGATGATGATTTGTCATGTGTCTCCTTGGCTTTGAATGAGCTCTCTGTGTTCCAGTCCATGCCAGAAGGGGGCACAACTACTTTAAGCTTTCTTCTGATGCTAATATTAATACTACCTGGACTTCTAGTGAGATCAGGGTGAACATGGTTTAATTACTTTGATCAGAGGCTAGCTTTTTTATATTAAGTTTGGTTTGTCTTTCTGGTGATTTTTCATGAAACAGAACTCTGGATCTAACCACTGTATTGATATTGCGTAGAATTCTCTGCTTCTAGGAGACAGTTGAACTAATTTGACTCTTATTAAACTTGGTGATGTGCTTTATTCTCAAGTTCTCTTTGCAGAACAATTTTGGTTGATTGGCAGACAGCCTTAAGGAGTGTTCTTCTGTTGCAGAGTTTGTTCTGACCAGTCTTGTTGCTATGCATATCCAGTCCCGTCTTCTTCCTCTCTTGACATTTAGAAATAAGGAGATTCAGCGGAATTCAGTAATTCTCCTCCAGATATTATCCCAACACTCAGGCAACCAGGTACACATTTTCTTAATACCACTGGCCTTTGGATCGCTTATGAGATTAAAAGCATTTGGGATAGGACAAATGTTCAAACAGGCATGCTTCGTATATCTATATGACAGGAAGGGTTCACAATTTATGTTATTCAGAGGTACGATAGTGCTTTGGATATTTTAATTCATAGAATTTAATTGGGGAGGCGGGGGAGTATCTAGTTAACAGGGTTTTTATTCATAAACTTTCTACTATGCTTTCTACTATTGTTCCGTCTCTTGAGATGGCACCTTTTTCTTCTATTTTCCTTATTACTCTGATACTCAGCACGGTTTACTCGGTTCCGCACTATATTTTATCTTTAGCTTGGTAGGTATACCTTCTTTAACTTTATTTGTCTATCAGTTTCCTTGCAAATAAAGAATATTTATTATTAAAATTGTACCTACATTGGTAGGTTAATAGCTCTCTCCTTCCTGCTGCTTATTTAGATCCTTTGTCTCTCCCGGTTTCCACCTGAGACTTTTTTCAAATTGATAAGTAAATTAATGGCAGGCCTCCTTTTTGTTAGACTCGTGGTCAGTTTTATTCATTACTACCGCACAGGTAGTCCTTGACTTACCACAGTTCATTTAGTGACCAGAGTTACAACGGCACTGAAATATGTATCTTATGACCAACAACCATTGCCGTATCCCCATGGTGACATGATCAACATTCAAGCCCCTGGCAACCGACTCAGATTTATGACGATTGCAATGTCACAGAATCATGTGGATTTCCCTTTGGCGACTTTCTGACAAGCAAAGTGAACAAGAGCAAGCCAGATTCACTTAACAACTGTGTTACTAACTTAATGGCTGCGGTGAACCACTTAACAACCACGGTAGGAAAGGCAGTAAAATGGGGCAAATCTCACTTAAGAAATGCCTCACTTAACAACATACATTTTGGGCTCAATAGTGGTTGCAAGTCGAGGACTACCAGTAGTGGAAAAAGCTATCCATGATTGGATAGAACCTTGAATGATTTGTACTCAGTGGAAGTATTTATATTGCTGTTTGTTGAATTAACCAACTGTAAGGTTAGCACAGCTCACTGGCTTTTTTTTAATTGCTTAACAATTTAATAGTGGCACAGTCCCCTCCCCCCGCCCCAAAACTGGGTATTATTACACAGAGATGCTGTGGCCCTTTCCCTCCCTGTCTGTGATGAACCTGGTCAACCTTGGCTCTTTGGTGCAACATTGCTTTGCACCTGCAGCTGTATTATACCAATTTTGTAAATTTGGGTTAATCCCACACAGATTGTTATTTTAAAAGTGCTCTTACTGTATTTTAAGTGCTACTTTAATCTTTGCAGGATGCCCTGATGTCTGATGAGATGCTGCAAACTTTGGGGGAACTGTTGCTTACCTGGAGAACAGACCCAGTAATTGTTGGCCATATGGCTTGCCTCATCAGAAATCTCAGCCTTTCTAAAAACATACAGGCAAGTCTCAAGTAGTTTTGCATACCGATCCAAATATTCAGCTCACAATTCAGCTAACTGAGTGATATTATATGAAAATATTAAGTGTTTGTTGAATTCTCAGCATATATTCCTGATAGCATACATGGAATTGGTATGTTTTAATACATTCACACTGGTTTTTTTTTTAAATTGAACATTTTCAGGATGTTATTTTTATGACTCAGTTCTTTCAGAATTTATAACTAAAAGACACCCATGTTCCAGTGCAAGGAAATACTTTGATCATTTTATACACTGTTCTCCACCCTACACATACACATACAAATTTATGCATACACGTACACACACATACACACTCATACTCACTCACTCACTCATGCATGCACACATAGAGAGAGAGAGACAGAGAATTTTTGTTCAAGCATGTTAATATCACAGGTTTGTTTTCTAGATCAGCAGTCTCCAACCTTGGTAACTTTAAGCCTTGTGGAATTCTGGGAATTGAAATCTATAAGTCTTAAAGTCCACAAGTCTTAAAGTTGCCAAAGTTGAAGACCCCTGTTCTAGATAGTAAAGATAGCAAGCAGGAAACTAGGAATTTATTTTACCTTTGAAAACTTTATTTATTGCTCAATAAAGCAGTAGCACTGCAGGTAATCCTTGACTTACGACCACCCTTGAGCCCAACGTATAAGTTACTAAGTGAAAAATTTGTTAAGTGCATTTTGCCCCATTTTATAACTTTATGACTCTTCCCCCCATTTGTTAAGTGAATCACTGAAGTTGTTAAGTTAGTAACATGGTTGTTAAGTGAATCTGGCTTCCCCATTGATTTTGCTTGTCAGAAGCTTGCCAAAGGGGATCATATGACACACACACCCCGGGACACTGCAACTGTCTTAAATATGAACCAGTTGCCAAGCATCAGAATGTAAATCACATGACCATGGGGAGACTGCAACAGTCATAAGTGTTAAAAATGGTCGTAAGTCACTTTTTTCAGTGCCGTTTTAACTTTGAACGGTCACTAAATGAATTGTTGTAAGTCGATGACTACCTGTAGAACTTCAGTTTCACTATCATGAAGTCCTTGCTATCATAAAGTCATAAAGCTATTTCCCTCAGATATTTCTTAAACCAGACTTATTCCTATCAACTTATTTATTGCTATTCAGATTGCCTTTCTCCTTTGCATTCTATTTTGGAATACTAGCACTTTACACTGTTGCTTCTTTACTCATTGTCTTCTTTGTTGCATGATTCTTTCCCCTTTCCTCTGGGCTGCTCATAATTACTACTGTCATCTTGTCATCTTGTCTTCCTCAGTGCATCAACTACCCTTCTTGATTTTCTCATGTTGTTTTCTCTCCCGTGGACTTAGTCCGTCCGTCCTTCCTTCCTTCCTTCCTTCCTTCCTTCCTTCCTTCCTTCCTTCCTTCCTTCCTTCCTTCCTTGCTGCAGTTTTCAGAGTAGCTCATATGCCACCTCCAACGGTAGTTGGAAATGCGTCTAGAATAATTGTAAATATACCTGAGAGGAAAGTACTTGACACACATAAGCCCTCTTTTCCTATAGACCTGCGTGGTAAGGAAGAGTTTAAATCATCCAGATGCAATGTGGAATTTGCTTCCACAATGTAGATAGTCATACAATTTGTGAGTGCAGTCTAGAGTGTTTACAAAATAAGCACATGAACAGGGGAGAAAAGCAGCCAACATAAACACACAAGCCCAGATTTCATATCAAAGTAGCTCGATACCCGTGCTTCGCTACGAAACTATGAGGTCAGGCTTAGTTTTTGGGGAGGAAACTAAGGGAAAAAATATGCCTCTGCCTACCAGCATCCACCGGTATTCATCTGGCTAGTGTCCTGTCAGCGTGTGAAAGAGTTGAGGGCTGTTTGGAAAGTGAAGCAGTATTTGCTGTGTGAGCAAGGAGACAGCAAGGAGCCTCGACTTAGCTCAACTGTTTTGTACTAAAGCTGGTTGCTGCTGTGAAACTGAAACTCCTCTCCACTGCTTGTGTTTTACATTTGGAACAGATTTTATTTATTTATTTATTTATATTTATTTGATTTGTCAATCGCTTACAAGATAATAGGTATAAGAATAAACATAGTTATGAATACATGAAATGGATACATATAAGAAAAATAAAAAGAAACAATAGGACAGTGACGGGAGGTACGTTGGTGCACTTATGCACGCCCCCTACAGACCTCTTAGGAAGGGGGTGAGATCAATAGTAGACAGTCTAAGGTTAACGTTTTTGGGGTTTGGGGAAGAAAAATTTCTTTTCAGGTGGGGAGGGGGAGTAGAACTCCTTAGCATCAGAGCATGTAAATAATAATATACAAAATACTAATGCTCTGATGGTCATTTCGAAAAATCCTTTCTTATTGAGCACTAGAAGCCAAGAGGAACATATGTGCCAAATTTCAAGTTTGTAGGCTTTACGGTTCTGGAGATTTTATGATGATGCATGAGCAGTATTTCGGTTTGATACATATAGATAAAGTGGTCTGGAGTCATTACTCAATTCCTATAAGATTATAGGTTCAATCTCTGTAGCTGTCTCTGGACATTGCTTTCCAAAGGCATGGTATTTATAAAAGATTTACCTCTAGTTTCCATATCTGGTCCTCTAATATCCATTTAAGAGAATTGATTTATACAGGAAATATAGTTCCCCCCCCCACCATATATTGGCCCTACTGTCCTTAAAAACATTATGCCACAGCCATCATTTTAAAATGCACCTAGAAAGATACCAGTACTAGAAATCAATTTAAAATTCAGATTAAAAGGACAACGTGCTTATTTCTTGTTCTTTCTGCTGTAGTTTGAATGAACTAATTACAGCAAACTGTGAACTATATAACGGTCATCCCTTATTGATCTCAAATTTGACTATTGGTATCACTGTGGAATGGATTTCTGTAATGGACAATATAGCACCCACTGGAAAATCTATAGCAATGGATTTTGCAGGTGCTAAATTTCCTGAGAAGCACATTGTGTAGAGAATTGCTAAAGCTAAACTAGTCTGATCAATTCTGGGAAATATTTTGAAAATCCTTATGATGCTTTAAAAAATGGGTTAGTTTCACAGTATCAGAGCACTAAATAAATTTTGCACTATAATAGTTCTTATTTAAACAACATATATAGGAGGAAAGAGAGTTATATTATCAAGCAATGCACCTACCTGCATGCTTTCTTCTCATGTTAATCTCTCCACCTGCTTGTATAAAATGTTGCAGGTTTCCTCAAATCTGCTTTCGGGAGTTCATGAGTACCAAATGCAAGATGGGTCTAAAAGTGTTGGAGATCTCTTTTCGTATTTGGAATTAATAAAAGAATTTGGAGACCACGTATGCCATAAATGTTTTAAGAAAAAAAACAATGCAACCACAGTTGGTTATTGCACACATATTGATATTTTGTGTGATTATTATCTATCCCTCATCCTACATCCTTTATCCAGTTCTAAAAATTAAATCCAATGTTAACTGGGGCAGAGGCAAGTTTTAGTTTAATTTGATTCTTGAATGAATCTGATATAGGCCATAAAACTACCCTGTTTATTTTTATTCATGATGCTAATTTTTATAGCTTGAAAGAGGTTTGCCAGACTGAAATAGTACCTTTTGTGTATGATTTACAGAAAATCTTAGAAAGCCCATGTGTTGAAGGCCTTCTTCAAGCTATCCATAGTGCCCATTTACTAGAAGATTCCCTTTTCTATGTGATATCTTGTCTTGCTGAACTGGTGAAGCATGGTAAGGGGGCCTTTAATTCTGTTGCATAGATGCGTAAGCCTTTTTTTCTGGCATTGAACATTGATGTTGATGTAAGTTTTGATCTCCTGCATAATACAGATGATGATGGTTTTATTGGAAGCCTATGAGAAGCCAAATACTTGGGGTAAAAATATAAATAAGATATGAGATATAAGAACTTTATTGAATTTAAATTAAATTAAATAGAAATATATTTAAATTCAATTTAAATAGGAGAGCCAGCTTGGTATAGTGACTAATGCACCAGGCTAAAAACTGGCAGACTCAGGCACAAAACCAATTGGATGACCTTGAGCCAGTCACACACACACACAGCTCCAGGAAGGAGGCAACAGCTAACCACTTCTGAAATCTTGCCAAGAGATCTGCAGGGATAGGCAACAGTGGTAGGATTCAGAAAAATTTACTACTGGTTCTGTGGGCGTGGCTTGGTCGGCGTGGCATGACTTGGTGGGCTTGGCTTGGTGGACATGGCAGAGGAAGGATACTGTAAAATCTCTAGTCATAGTGGGTATTTGCTGGTTCTCTGAACTACTCAAAACTTCTGCTACCGGTTCTCCAGAACTGGTCAGAACCTGCTGGATACCACCTCTGATCTGCAGGGATTATTCCAGGCAGTTGCCAGAGATCGGCAATAACTTGAAGGAATTAATCAATAAAGCAAACATAATTTTAAAATAAAACAAACTCAGATTTCAATCATAATCAAAATATTTAGATTGCCAAGTATTTCTAAAGTGCTTGCTGGTTTTAAAAGGAAAAGCATATTCGCTTGGATACTCTTTCTTTTTCTTTAATCCTTTTTTTAAAACTCAAACTTCTAAAATATACATATATTTAATGGGAGCGAGCAACACTTTGAAGAAAATATCTAAAATACAGGTAGTCCTCAACTTACAACAGTTCATTTCGTGACCATTCAAAGTTACAACGGCACTGAAAAAAGGAGGTTATGACTGTTTTTCACAGTTACGACCTTTGCAGCATCCCTGAGATCATGTGATCAAAATTCAGATGCTTGGCAACTGGTTCGTATTTATGACTATTGCAATGTCCCAAGGTCCTGTGGTCCCCTTTTGTGACCTTCTGACAAGCAAAGTCAATGGGGAAGCCAGATTCACTTAACAACCGGGTTACTAACTTATCAACTGCAGTGATTCCCTGAACAACTGAGGCAAGAAAGGTTGTATAACGGGGTGAAACTCCCTTAACAAATGTCTGACTTAACAGAAATTTTGGGCTGAATTGTGGTTGTGAGTCAAGGACTATCTATGCTGGAGAAATCATAAAGTACCTTGGGACTGGAATTGCCATCACTAAGCAATACAGCCCTTCGAGCATGACATGATATGACCGTACCATTTAGCAGTGGCAATCCTGGAACTCCCCATTGCTGTCATGCAAAGATCATTGGGTGTGAAGTGATCCCAGGTGGCTCACAAGAAGATGTAATTGCAGAGCAACTTGCAACTTTCCCCGCTGCCTTTCCTCTTGACTTTGTTCATGAGAAGCTGGTAGGAAAGGTTACAAATGGGTGCTCATGTGACCATCATAAAGGCAAGCCAAGCAGGGATGGGGTTCTATCAGTTCGCACCTACTCACTAGAACCGGTTGTTAACATTCTAAGCAGGTCGGAGAACCAGTTGTTAGAAGAAATTACTGGCCTAATCCTGTAAGGAAGGTAGGAAGGAAACATTCTGGTGTTGCTTACAGAAACTGCCTCTCTGTTAACCCTTATTACATTCTTGGCAGGACTAGACTTCCTGTCTCAGGAATCTCTCTGGAGTTTTTTTCCCTTCCTTTGCTGGTACTTTGCTTGTGTGGAGTGACCATTCAAAGTTACAATGGCACTGAAAAAAGTGACTTATGACCATTTTTCGCACTTATGACTGTTGCAGCATCCCCACTCTCATGAAAGGCCAGGCAAGGAGATGCATGCCTCGATGTGAGAGATATTGAGTTGGCCACATCCAGCCAATAACATGACCATCAAGCCATGTCCACCCAGTCACATGACCACCAAGCCAAACCCACCACCTAAGCCACGCCCACATAACCGGTTGTCCAGATTGTGATCACATGACCACAAAGGTGTTGGAATGGCCGGAGCTTTGAGGACCAGTCACAAATACCATTTGTTCAGTGCTGTCGTAACATCAAAAAGTCATGAATGAGTGGTTATTATTACAAGGACTGTCTATAAGATCCAGCCATTGATCAAACCAGTATTATCTAAAGTGAAGTTAGCATCCTTGGACATCAGGTATTCCATCATGGGCAAAGTAATTCCTCTGTGAAATCATAGGAAATATCCTACCGCATTTTGAATTAGTCAGATGCCACTTTGACTACTGGGGTTAGTTCCACATTTTGAGAGAGAGAGATTATAGAACAGTGATGGTTAAGCTTTTCCACATTGCATGCCAAATGTGTGTGCATGTGTGCACGCGTGCCTGCACCCATGATGCAATGCAATGACTCCCCTGACTCCCTGTGCATATGCGCGCAATCCCCTGCACGTGCACCACGCGCCTCTGTGCATGCATGCTCAACCACTGCACACTTCTGCACATGCGCACGCAACGCCACACGTCGCATGCCTCTGTGCATGCATGCGCATCTCCCCCATGCGTCTCTCCCCACGCATGCGTGCCTGGGTGGGATTCAAATTTTTTAACAACCAGTTCTGTGGGCATGGCTTGGTTGGTGGGCATGGCTTGATGGTCATGTGACTGGGTGGATATGGCTTGGTGATCATGTTATTGGCTGGGCGTGGCCAACTCAATATCACTCACGTCGAGGCATGCATCTCCTCACCTGGCCTTTCATGACTGTGGGGAAGCTGCAACAGTCATAAGTGTGAAAAACGGTCATAAGTCACTTTTTTCAGTGCCATTGTAACTTTAAATGGTCACTCCATACAAACAAAGTACCAGCAAAGGAGGGGAAAAAAATTCCAGAGATTTTCCTGAGACAGGAAGTCTAGTCCTGCCAAGACAGTAATAAGGGTTAACAGAGAGGCAGTTTCTGTAAGCAACACGAGAATGTTTCCTTCCTGCCTTCCTTACAGGATTAGGCCAGTAATTTCTTCTAACAACCGGTTCTCCAAACTGCTTAGAATGTTAACAACCGGTTCCAGCGAATAGGTGTGAACTGGTAGAAGTCCACCCCTGCATGCATAGCAGATACCCAATAATCAGCTGGCTGGCGGGAGGCGTGCATGCATGCGCAGTGGGGCTCTTCCGGGCGACCTCTCGTGTGCCGGCAGAAGTGGCTCTGCGTGTCACTTCCAGGATGTATGCCATAGGTTCGCCATCACGGTTATAGTAATTGGAACTGGAACGGACAATAAAATAAGTCTTATGAGGCAACTGGGTGTGGTCCCTTTTGTGAAGAGATGCCTGACTGAAGTGTGATAGCCTTCCTCAAGTACATGAATGGATCCTGCAGAGGAGTTCAAGACCTATTTTTTATCATTCCAGAGTGTGAGACATAGACCAATGTTCTTAAGTTTCTGTTCCTAAGTACAGTTTCCATTTAAATGTTAAGAAAAATTTCCTCATGATAAGACCAATTGAACAATGATGCCAAATACTGAAGGAGATGGTGAGCACCCTTTGCTGAATGTGTATAAGGAAAGGCTATACTTCCTTCTGTTCAGGTTTTAATTTCTCCACCAATTGTGAGGCCTACCAAGTATTTGACTCTGTGGTTCAATATATTTATTTCAAATGTTCTACAGCAGGGCTGTCAAACACACGGCCCACGGCCCAGATGTGTCACATGCTGGCCACACCCACACCCAGTTTAGCAAAGGGGAAAGTCCCAATATGTCACATGACACTGCTGTGACACCACAGGTTTGACACCCCTGTTCTATAGTCTTTTTCTGTTCTGTTGGGGTCTGTTCATTTGTCTTTTAATTTCTTATTAAATCTTTCCTTTTATTATTAGAAGGAGCCACGGCGCATATTGTAGCATTGATGGATGAACCATTGATAAGTCATTTGGTGAAATTAGCTAACCAGGTGGAACAAACCGAGCTTTCATTCCAAGCTGCTTTTATGATCAAACACTTCGTAAGGCATGGTATGTATCAACAGGGAGTCTGATATTTACACTGCTCAAAAAAATAAAGGGAACACTTAAACAACACAATGCAATTCCAAGTCAATCACACTTCTGTGAAATCAAACTGTCCACTTAGGTAGCAACACTGATTGATAATCAATTTCACATGCTGTTGTGCAAATGAAATAGACAACAGGTGGAAAGCATAGGCAGGTAGCAAGACATCCCCCAAAAGGAGTGGTTCTGCAGGTGGTGACCACAGACCACTTCTCACTTCCTATGCTTTCTGGCTGATGGTTTGGTCACTTTTGAATGCTGGCGGTGCTTTCATTCTAGTAGTTGCATGAGACGGAGTCTACGACCCACACAAGTGGCTCAGGTAGTGCAGCTCATCCAGGATGGCACATCAATGTGAGCTGTGGCAAGAAGGTTTGCTGTGTCTGTCAGCGTAGTGTCCAGAGCACCAGGAGACAGGCTACCAGGAGACGGGCCAGTACATCAGGAGACGTGGAGGAGGCCCTAGGAGGGCAACAACCCAGCATCAGAACCTCTATCTCCACCTTTGTGCAAGGAGGGACAGGAGGAGCACTGCCAGAGCCCTGCAAAATGACCTCCAGCAGGCCACAAATGTGCATGTGGCTGCTCAAACAGTCAGAAACAAGACTCCATGAGGGTGGTATGAGGGCCCAAGTCCACAGGTGGGGGTTGTGCTTACAGCCCAACACCACGCAGGACCTTTGGCATTTGCCAGAGAACACCAAGATTGGCAAATTCACCACTGGCACCCTGTGCTCTTCACAGATGAAAGCAGGTTCACACTGAGCACATGTGACAGACATGACAGGGTCTGGAGACGCCGCGGAGAACGTTTTGCTGTCTGCAACATCCTCCAGCATGACCAGTTTGGCAGTGGGTCAGTAATGGTGTGGGGTGGCATTTCTTTAGGGGGCTGCACAGCCCTCCATGTGCTTGCCATGTGCTGACTGCCATTAGGTACTGAGATGAGATCCTCAGACCCCTTGTGAGACCATATGCTGGTGCGGTTGGCCCTGGGTTCCTCCTAATGCATGACAATGCTAGATCTCATGTGTCTGGAGTGTGTCAGCAGTTCCTGCAAGACGAAGGCATTGATGCTATGGATTGGCCCACCCGTTCTCCACACCTGAATCCAATTGAGCACATCTGGGACATCATGTCTCGCTCCATCCACCAACACCACGTTGCACCACAGACTCCAGGAGATGGGGGATGCTTTAGTCCAGGTGTGGGAGGAGATCCCTCGAGACCATCCGCCACCTCATCAGGAGCATGCCCAGGTGTTGTAGGGAGGTCATACAGGCATGTGGAGGCCACACACACTACTCAGCCTCATTTTGACTTGTTTTAAGGACATTACATCAAAGTTGGCTCAGCCTGTAGTGTTTTTTTTCCACTTTAATTTTGAGTGTAACTCCATGGGTTGCTAAATTTGATTTCCATTGATAATTTTTGTGTAAGTTTGTTGTCAGCACATTCAATTATGTAATGAACGAAGTATTTAATAAGAATATTTCATTCATTCAGATCTAGGATGTCTTATTTTTGTGTTCCCTTTATTTTTTTGAGCAGTGTATATTTTCAGCCTAATGAAAATATAAATTCAAATTCAAGTGATGAAATGTGTTGGGTTAAAAAAAAAAAAGGACAACAGCTTGAGCCTTGAAGTGCAAATCCCTTTATTTATATCATTCTCAGAGTATAATGGGATTTTTAAAGACTTATTAAATGAATGAATTACAGCTAGATGATCGTCTATTTTCCTATAATATACTAATAATGTAAATCTAATCAACATTAGGCCGGTATTTTGTGCCTGACCACACTTGGCCTCCTTGCCTGGAGCTCTTATTTTTCTAATTTAAATATGAAAATTTGTTTGAGAGAGTGAAGCAAATAGTTCCAACACAGCAATTAAACATTTTGTGCCATCGTAATAGAATCTTCCAGAAGGAAACAAATCCTGTTAAATATGCTATTACTGCTCAAATATTGATAGATTTACTGCTGCAAGTTGAAGTGATGTTTAATTTGAAAAATCATTGTGGTATAAAGCCTCTTTAAACCCCCATTCTTAAAATAATTTATTATTATTTATTTATTATTACATGTACACGGGCACTAATTGTGTCGAAGACATTTACTACACAATTATGTAGCATTATTAGCACTGTGCTTTAATTTCCAAGTAGATGAAGCTCTTTAGGAGATTCAGCACTTGTGTTTTTATTTCACAAAATAAAACTTAAAATGAATTGGGGCTGGAGTGCAGAGCTCTGCTTGCTGTAATGCATGACTTTATAGTAAACTACATTTATAAATTTTCAATATTAAAATATACTTAGCTTAACAAATTAGTAACCAGAAAAGCAAGCAGTAGCAGTCATCACAAGCAGAAGGATGCTGTTTTAATAGTGCCGTATAACTAATGGATTCTGTTCTGTATTTCTTTTCTGTTCTCCATATCAATTGCTTAGAGGAGATAGTGTCTCTGTTAAAAACTCACATGAACCAGGTTCAGCAATATCTGATGAAGTATCTTATTCACCGGGAGATTCGTTTTCAGCATTTGGGCATAACCACTCTCTGTGCATTACAGAAAGGTATGGACTTCTATGATTTAAAAAAATCCCTATTAAGTCTTTCCAATAAAATAAATAAAATAGTGGTCCAAATTAAATCCCAGGAGTTTTATGTGGTGTCTAGCATAACTAGGCTCACTAGATTTTACTAGGATTTGAGTCCTTATTGCTTCTAGTAATGTAAACGAACTCCAGCTTTATAAAGTTCACTGATATTTTCATCAGACTTGTGTAGAAGTTCATTCCCATTGTCACATATTTTATAATTCTAAAAATATTTTTAGAAAGGGAGCATCAATAATCCCATGATTCTAGTTTCCTGAATTTTTTCCAACTATTTTTTATTAGCAGTAGTAAAGAACTCAAGATGTACCCTTATAGGATTTTAGTTGGGGAAGACTCAAGAGAGTGAAACCAAGCCAAATAGAATCACCAAAAATGCAATGTATAAGAGGTCCAGCTAGGTGGTGAATTTCAGAGTTATTTTTGACAGAAGGTCCAAAGGGAAGCTTGGATCTTTATAGGAGGTTGAACAGTGGAAAGTGGAAGGCTGATTGATGGACACGAGACACATCATAATGCCTGAAAGTTTGTCATATTTCTGACTGAGAAAGGTGGAAACAGGTTCTCTTGAGGCTTGTTGAACTGATGTATGATGTATAAGAAACAGGAATATGCATGAATTTCTTAACACAATCTTGAAAAATTGTAACATCAAAGCAGATTTTAAACATAAATAATTTAAAGTTGGCCTATATTTCATGGTGTAGAATTTTATAGATTGAATGTAAATCCTTAGATAATACTACCAATCCAATGTCAAATAAATGTATAGACAAGTGTAAAAGGGTGTACCTTCCCACATGAAAAGTTCCGTAGGTATTTTAAAAAGCTCTAATATCTGAATACTTTTTTTCTTATATGAAGATCCAGACTTTCTGGCAGCATTCAGTAACAGTGAACTGAAGAAGCACCTTGATGAAATCTGTCAACAAACTGAAATTATGCAAGAGCTTCTCAGTGTCGCTATTGGACATATGGATCCATGAGAGACACTTCCAGCCTGCATATCATTAGTCAGAATGGAGATCTTTAGCTCCTGAATAGGCAGCTGAGGTAAGATATTGGCACCTCAAGTTTAAAGGAGCAGCCGTGGATGAATCTACAACAGCTACATACATAAATTATGATGTCAGTTATTTGGGTAGAAATGAAAGGGACATTTCCTCCATCACAAGGCATGTAAACAGAATCCATTGAAAATGATTGGGTTTGGGATTATATCAAAAATCTGCCACTGTTGCCTTATCTAAGATGGCTAGTTCATTATTTTGATGCATTCATGGACCAGTCTTAAAAGATTGTTCTACTATACAGATGCAAGACAGACGGACCAATCTAAACGTTGTTCTTTCATACAAATGTTGCAATTTAGCACCAGCCTTGCTGATTTGTAATCTGCAAATCTCTGCAGATATAGATAATCTTGCCCTGGAATAAACCTTGACCACATTCCTATTTTAATAAACTGAAATTGGATTGTTTTAAGAGCTTTGAAATGGAAAAAAGAAATCTCTGCTAGCAAATAATTATGTGTATGTAGGTTTCCAAGCTAAATTTGTGAAGTTTTTATTAAAATGGGCATTTTTAGAAAAAATGTAGGTGGTTCCGTAAATGACAGTTGCTGGATCCAAAGGTTTCGATTTATGCACATATTTGTGTTAAAATGCTCTGCAAGTAGAAAAATGATTTGGATGACATGGAGATATCCACCAAAGAAGACATACTGTACCTAGTTGCACAAAGAAAGGCTATTCAGAACCTGTTTCTATACATATGTGAAGTGCATATGTTCAAGAGCTCTTACTTTATTTCAGCTCTTACATCTAAATTAAATCGATTATTGGATCTTTTTGGGAAAAAAAAACCTGAATATTTACATAGAAGATTACTGCTTTCTTTGTGCTACTAAAATCAAATGTCTGGAAGCCATGTGCAAAGTATCTAATATATCTATATATTGTATCTAATATATTTTTGAGTGATTCTGCAGTTGTCTGCAAACATAGTAAAAAAAATGAAAGCTTTTGTTTTCTGGCTTTGCATATTGAAGATTGATCTGCAGGACACACAATGGCAGTGAAACACATTTTCCACAAGAAACAAAACATACTTTCTTCTAGCCAGTTTATAGCTGGAAATGCCCATATGGGTTTCATCTCTTATTAAATTGGATTTTTAAATTGTTAGAATCTTGTTTATAGGAAGCAACATAAAGTGTTATAAGAAAATAATATTTTAGAGAAGAATGTCACAGGACACAGAAGAATGAGAACAGCCTCCTGAGATGGAAATGGTCATCTGAGTCATATGCAGCATTTCTTCTATGAATGGGCTGTGTTCCTCAAGGATTGTTGAATCTGTTCCTCCCATTAGATTGCAGGAAGACCAACTCTTGGCTCCCTCATTAGACTTCCCAAATAACTGAATATCATCTATTTCATGTAATCACCATTCTGCAACAATATGATATCAAACAGACCAGGTCTTAGTGCCTTAGAATCAGAGATGGACTATCCCAGGTATTGGGGGGCTTCTGAATCTAACACCATTCTTGCTAGGATTCAGCCTAAACTGTTCCTCCCTATCCAACTCTAATGGCCTCCAGACATCAGGACAGGACTTCAGTAACATTTCCTATTCCTATTTCCTATTCCTGTACGATATGGAGAACGTTATGGGTACACTGGGGACACGGTGGCTCAGTGGCTAAGAAGCTGAGCTTGTCAATCAAAAAGGTCGGCAGTTCGAATCCCTAGCGCCACATAACAGAGTGAGCTCCCATTACTTGTCCCAGCTTTTGCCAACCTAGCAGTTCAAAAGCATGTAAAAATGCAAGTAAAAAATAGGCACCACTTTGGTGGGAAGGTAACAGCGTTCCATGCGCCTTTGGCATTTATTCACGCCGGCCACATGACCACGGAGACGTCTTCAGACACTGCTGGTTCTTTGGCTTTGTAACAGAGATAAGCACTGTCCCCTAGAGCTGGAAATGACTAGCATAAATGTGCGAGGGGAACCTTTGCCTATGGGTACATTAGCTGCATCTTCATTTTCCAAGTCTGGAAAAAGCTCATTGAATGCAGAGAATGACATTAAGCCAGAAAGCTTTGTTTTATTTGCTGAACTGCCTGCTAGACTAGATAAATGAAGAAAACCCAAACTTGCATTGTTAATTATAGCCACGTTTTTATTGTTTATTTTGTACTCAACAAAATTAATAAATACATTATCTAAGATACAATAGGCTTTTTTTTTTCATTTCACCTATGAAAAAATAATGCTTTCATTTTTTTTCACATTTTAAAACCTGTCATGTTATTTGTAAAAGAAAATGTGAGAAGAGCATAGTGATGGCTAAATATACAGAAGGTCCATTTAGGAATTACATTTACAAGAACCTGATACAGAAGGCTATATTTTGCCTCCAAAGTTAATAGTTCTCTGCAATAATATTTAAACCAACAGGTTTAAACAAAAAAAAAAAAAACCAAAGCCCCTCCCTGTAGAGCAGTGAGGTGTTTACTTTTCAAGTATTGAATCAGTAAAATGTAAGATTATTTGCTGATTTTACAGTGTGCCTTTTAAAACTACCCATCTTCAAATCAAGTCAAAACCAACAGGCCCATTATCTCAATCATCCTGTTATTGTTAATCTAGTTACCCTTTTCTTCAAGAATTGGTGAAAATATCAATTATGCTACATGAAGCAGTTTTTGAAATAGAAGACACAATTCTCCCCTAGTAGTGAGTTCTTGTGATAGAAAGGCAATCCAAATCTATTTCCAATATATTCTGCTGGTTTTACTACCTGTTTTCTTTAGAAAAAGAAAAAAGAAAGAAAGCAAGAAATCTTTAGAAAATTCCAGAGTGACCAAAAATATAACACTCCTTCATGGCATGGAAAAGGAATCCCATTGGCTTCAGAAGGCTTTTTCTTCACCTTTGATAATAATTTGTAAGGAGATCTCAGACAACTTCTACAAAGGAAAGCCAATAAAGAAATCATTAGCAATGATTCTTATACAAAAGTACAAACAGTCCTGTCAATGGATGATGATCATGCTGACAGGAGATGGACACGGGTGCAATTTAACCAGTGTAACAATCAGTTCGGTGAGCACATGCTAATGACCTTCTCCAGCAATCCCTGTCAAATAGCTGATGGGCAGCAATCCGCAAATCAGCTGAGCTTGAAAAATAAGATATAAAGCACAGCCTAGAGCCCAGGCAGGCGTGTGGCCTCAACAGCTGATCGTCGGAGCAAATCGAACTGGTTCGCTCTCAGATGATCCTCTGATCTACCAGTTTGCCCGTAGAATCCCACCCCTGGAAATGGATCTTATTAGTTCCAAAGACTGGAATTGCATGTAAAAAGTTCTCATGAGTGGAACAAGAGAAACAATATCTGCCAATTCCTGTTCCCTCTGAAGCTCTCCTATATGTTCTGAACACCTGCTGAAAGGGTTGAAACAACAACTAAAACAGTGTGGGAAGTAGGCCTGTAGGAAGGAGGAGGAATTGGCAAAAAAACATCACTCATTCTGTCCTGTTGGTGATGCCACCATTGGATCAGAGTGGCTTCCTCTCATGGGACAATAATTCAGGATCCATGCACCAATTATTAAGTGCAGAAATAGTTCCATTCTATGGTAATCCCACATAAACTGAACAAAGTTCCTGTTACCTAGAGTTATGAACCAGAGTAGATAATTTTCACTGAAATATCTTATAAGGAAGGAAACCCAGCACATGTTAAAATCAATATTTTTATATATCTGTTGCAGAAGTATTGCTTTTTCTTACTTTTATTAAAAGTCTATCCCTTAATAAATTTGCTTTTGTATCAGAAATAAATTTTATAATTGAAACAATTTTTTAAATAAATAGTTTGAAATTCAGATCTGTGCCCTGATCTGTACAAGTCTAGTGCAATTCAAATCAAGCTTCTCTCTCTCTCTGTCCTATTCTCGATGCAGGTTGCTCTAAGAATCAAGATTAATATGTTTATTGCAGATTTTATAACCCTTTATTCTTTCCTCTTAATATACTCAAATGAGGCATTTGCTAGATTCATTCCAGGGCATGCAAGTTAGAAGGAATACAGCAAACTTACCTGCTGTCTGAGGTGTTTGAACATTGTCTACCTGAGGCAATGACCCTTATGCCCCATTCTCTTCAAAGGCCAAGATGGGAGTCAAAGGAATATCAGAGCTATCTTTCTCTTCAGGACTCATGACATCCAATCTGGGAGGTTTTATTCCCATGGGTAAACTGATGAGCTCTTCAAAGTTTTCATCCTGCGTAGATACTCCATTTTCATTTGAATGTTTTTGTGGGTTGAGATTACTGAAATACATCAATAGGTAACATAACTTACAGATAACAAACCAGATGTTTATAGAACTATTTTAATCCAATGCTTTTTAAATTATATTTATTGTAGGCTTAGTTTCCTCTACCAGAAACATTTTAGGCCATGATACAGACAAATTTAAGTAACGTTTTGGAAACAATATCTATATTCAACTTTATCTAATGATGGAGATAGCACTACTACCCATATGGATAAATATTAACAGGAGGTGTTCTTAATTCAATTGACATACCATCCAAACCTTGACATTTTTCTTCACATATAAAACTTAGGTGAGATCACATTCTTAAATAACATAATAAAATTTAATAATTGGATATTTATATTGTGGCTCCTGATGGTTTAGACTTAACTTTGAATGGCATCAATGTATTATCGAACAAATACAAATGATATTATTTAGTCAATATACAAATTATATTTGAATTAGCATACTAAATGCCAAGAAAAAAAAAGTACAATTCTGAATGCAAATATTGCAAAAATATTTGTAATAATACTAAAAAAATGCAAAACATAGAAAACATAGACTAAGTTATATTGCAGGTTGAAGTTGGTGTCTTCTTCCACATCTTTAATTCTACTTCTGCAAAATTTCCTTATACAGTGCCTAATAAAATTGTGACATTTTTATTTCTTTGATTTTTTTTAAATCCTGCCTTTATTATTTTATAATAGTAAATCAAGATGGCAAACAAATATAATACTTCCTCCTCCTCCTATTTTCTCCTGTGAAGTGGGTTGGGGTGACAAACTTATCAAGAAACACCAGAAAGGTTTGGATATATTTGCCTTTGTTTCATTCCGTGAGGCTACAAAGGTTGCTAAAACACTGAGGTGATGCTAAGTCTCATGTGAAAAGCAATCTTTTCTGTATATTGAAAAGCAGATATTAAATCTATGCAACTATTCTGTCAGGCTGACAATTGGGACACCCTTTTCCCCAATAATGCAAGAATGCAGATGAAAAGGGGCTTTATTTCTTGTTAATTCTGATATAATATGATCTTAGTTCCCAAACATCAATGTTTTCAAATGATTTATTTACTTATTTTTTGGCTTACTGAGAAACAATATGTATGATACAGCAAAACATTTTGACACTAAATGTTTCCTTGAATATTTGAGAGAAATAATAGATAATTGAAACAATAAACACCTACAGCTAAGGGAAATAATTAAATTTAATATACAAGTTTACTTCAAGAAAACGAAACTTCTAAAACTCACCGGTGAATTTTTTCTCCATACTAGGATCATGTTGATAGCCTGTTTGGGTAGTGATTAAGGACCCAGATTGGAAACCAGGAGATAGGTTTCTATCTATCCAGATAGACCTTAGGCACAAAGCCAGCTGAGTTGCCTTGGGCCAGTCACTTTCTCTCAACCCTAAGCAATGGCAAACTACTTCTGGAAATCCTGACCCAAAACACCACAAGGAATATTCCAGGCAGGTTCCGAAAATTGGACTCAACTGAACAGAAGGGCGGTGTGGGGGAATCATGTTTCTTACCTGTCTAAGTTTACTCTAGGCTGGTGAGAAATGAGCACAGGTGTATGAAGTACCATTTCCCCATTGCGTGGAGTTTCTGCCATACACTGAACCTGAGAACCCATTACAGGGCTTAACGGAGGTGTAGGACCGCTCTCTAGTAAAAGGAAAAGAAAATGGTCCGTAAAACCGTATTCATTTAATGGAGCAGAATGGAGAACACAAGATTGCATAGAGAAGCATCTTTTCCCTTCTCAAAATGGTCTTTTGGAGAGTAGTTGCATGCAATCCTAAATATAATATTCAGTATTGCTGGGAGAGAATAGGACTGTTTCCTGGAGAGCTACTGTTTTCCCATAGAGCTCATAGTGAGCCAGATAGATTAATCATTTGACCCATTGCAAGACAACTTCCTATGCCTATTTCTTAATATAGAACGATGCTAAGGCTAGAGCCAAGAGAAATTTCAGGGATCTCTATCTGAATTCTGAAAAATCAATTCCTTTTTCGTACTAATGAAAAATGCAATATCCAACGAATAACAGGGTTCACTTTATAATAGCCTTATATAAAACACTTCCTTTTACAGCTTGTTTGCTCAGAAATCATCATACCAGGTAAATAGTGAGCTAACATTTCAATTGTTTAATAAAGCGGAAGTAAGGATTTTATTTCAGTAGCTCAATTGTTAACAAAACTGTAATCTAGATCAGAAAATGATATAATTTAGTATTTTCTCAGTAATGATTAAAACTAATGATCTAGAACTTGATTTATTTATCGCTGCAAAATCACAGCGCTAATGTTTCATTCTGTATATAATTATACTCACAATGGAATAATACGGCATTACAAGGATTCAAATGTCAAATCACTGACTTTTCATTAAATACAACCAAGTTATTAATGTTTAAATGATGTATTACTTCTTTTTTATCCATGCTCTGAGTAATTTTCAGTGTTAAACTAAATACCTATCAAAAGTAATACCTATTTCTTTTGCTATCAGTCCATTCTGCTGCTCATCTGATTTCTGCAAAATAAAAAAGATTTTATGTAAACATCTATTCTTTAGAAGATAAATATATAGAAAATATACTTCTGAAAAAGGAAAAAAGTCCATACATACCGTCCCAAAGGTGCTTTTTTCAAGAGGCAACTGGACTTCCTGGTTTTTCTTTGAAGAAGTTTTGCTTCTCATCCAAAGAAGAAGCTTCTTGTCTCTTGAAAAAAGCACCTTTGGGACAACCATGACTTGGATGACTGAGAATCTCCATAGACACTTCCACACATACCTTTTCCACAGGTTCTGATCGCCTGGTTCTTTTCATAATTTCCTCAAGACGCTACATAATAAAGAAAAAAATATTTATAATCAACACCTTCCAGATTTATCCATAGTTTATAATATTTATTCATTTATTTTACATTTGTATGGGCCACCTCAAGCAAAAAACTGTGGGAAAATTATAATATGCTAATGATAAGAAAAATCATAATCCCCCCAAGATGCATGCTGATAACTATTAGTTAATTAAACTTGGAAAAATAAAACTTTCAATTATCTTCTAGATGCCCTGACTGAGGAAGCTTTATAAATATTTGGTGCTAAAGTGTTCCAATGTGTGGGAGCTGCTGCAAAGAAGGACTGTCATCTTCTCCATGTTCCCTTAACTTCAGATGGAGAGGTGACTCTTTAACAGACCTTTCTAAGATGTTTTCACTGGATAACAGATTTAGCTACATTAATTATGAACATACAACATGCAATAACCAAATTCATCTCCAGTATATGCTATAGTTATTTCACCACTGCCACCTCTTCCTCCACCAACTTGCCTGCAACAAATTTTTACAAAATGAGCTACTCATCCTCCTTGGAATCAACTGGAGGAGGAAGCATCAACAATAGCAGCATAGGTGATCAGCAAGCAAATGAGCAAACATCCTCTTTGTAAGCTTCCTGCAACCCTTGTCTTTTTCATAAATCAGATCAACTTACATTTATTCCCTCCCTCCTCCAATCCATTATTGTCTCCACTTTAGAAAAATGCAGGGGTGGGTAAACTTCTCCACTTTAAGTAAACACCTTTTATTCCCAAACATGTGAGACTAGTGGCAATGGAAGTTTGCCTGTGATGTAAACCAACCTACAGTATGCAGCATACAATATGTTAATAAAGAGGTAACTCAAAACTGATCCATCACATCATGAATCCCTTTGGGGGTGTTCTTTATAAGCTTGTGATCATACATGAAAGCAAGAGGCTACCTGATTCATGTAGATTCCTGTAGGTTCTTCCCATGATTTGTAAGTTTGGCAATGGGTTCTAAATCAGAAAAGACTCCCCTTCATAGATGCTTTGTTGGGCAGGTATGTGCAAAAATCCAAAGGTGGCATTATAAACAGCAAACATAACTGTGATTGCAATTGCATGGAAGAGAATGCTTCCAAAAGGTTTGTAAAACTATTTTCGTCCTTAAGTCCTTGGGCAGGGGGTTGGATTAGATGACCTACAAGGTCTCTTCCAACTCTGATTATCTGTTTAATCCAAGGGTCTTCAAACTTGGCAAGTTTAAGACTTGTGGACTTCAACTCCTAGAATTGAAGTTAACATAACTGGAGGAGGAATTCTGGGAGTTGAAGTCCACAAGTCTTAAAGCTGTCGAGTTTGAAGAGCCCTGGTTTAATCTGTTTAAAGTGTATTCACTGGATGGGTCACATGAAAATATACATCTGGCTGTCTGAAAGAACAGATTTCTATTACCTTCTTTCTTTCGAAGCGCTCCTGTTCTTCTTTTTGGAAATGTTTTTCACGCTCCAGTCGAATCTGTACTTCTCGTAACCGAGTTTCCTCTTCCTTCTATATTACGGCATAAAAAGGAAAATATGGACATTGATCATATTATGGTAATCAGTGTATTTTATCTATTACTTTCACTTTTGCTTTCAATTGCTGAAATCCCAAAATGTAAGAGGCTGCGTAGCCCCAACATAGTTGCAAAAGGTATCTTTTGTATCCAAAGAGCAGCTTCTTTTATAATTGCAAATGAATGTACAATTTAATTACTTCTCTTGTAGTGCAAACACATTTTGAAAAGGTGATGAGATTCTCAATTAAATACTGTGTATTTATGTACCACAGTCCATAAAATTAGAATACCAGTGTTTCTTGATTACTTCAACAATCATTAGTCTTTCTGATTGCACATAATCAGTTACTGTTCATGATTTTATGCAAGGTAAAAATTAAGTGCTCCCTTTTCTATTTGGCATGATATATTAGGGAAGCATGCATTGCATGTTTAAGGCCCAAGTCACAAATATTAATGGCATTTTTGTATCTAACCTGCAGGATACATTCAAATGCAAAGTAATAGCAGCAGCTGGCAAGGTTCATAATTAAGAAGAGGCATGAAGGGGAAAAATTAATGCTTTGCAATTTTGATAAAAATTCCTCTTCAAAAAAAAACTTTCGGGGAGGGAATTTAATGAATGTCATTTGCACTGAAAAACAGCGTGCAAATTAGATCAAAAAGTGCATTCAACTTCAGAAAGAATAGGTCCTAAATATACAGACAGAAGGAAGGAAATACTATATAATTTTTTATAACTGTCAGGAGTCCTTCCAGAGAATACCAATATTCCAAAACCCACAGTCATACATATTTTGTACACAAATGCATATCTCTTGTAAAGACAAAAAAGTGCTTTTGGGATTGTTAGGAATGTAAGTCACCTCACAGTTGGGCTGGAAAATATATAAACCAGGATAGACATTTTAATACTGTCTCTTTAAGGGAATGCTAAAATTGTAATTGGATGTGGTTCCTCAAATGGCCATAAGATGGAGCCAGAAACCTGAGTGGTTCTGTTCTGTTTTTGCTGAGAGTGTTGATGTTCCTGCATTTTTCCTTATTGACTGTTACCGATCGTCGTTATTCTTGGATTTCATGTGAGTCTATTTACTGAACTGTTTTTGATACTGGACTTTGTTATTTGGATTATCCCTGGACTAAAAACTGACTGCTTTAACAGTGAATGACTTAGACTGTGTTTGGACTTTGCTTAACCGTTTACTGGAAGTAAAACCTACATTTTACTATATACAGTGTAGCTGTGTGCTGTTTGTGTGTTATTCTTCACCACTCTCATTACGTCTCCCTGTGTGCGCTCATTCTCCTAACGGGGAATTACCTCAACAAGAATATCACTGGAGGAGTAGCTTGCATAGACCCTGTTAATATTCCTTAAAGTAGCTGATCTATTCTTGTGATAGTTTGAGGGATGGTGCCTACGGAGGGGGAAGTGATGTGATGAACTATAGTGAAATGGCAGTTTCCCAGGAAACATTTGCGGGGGGAGGGAGCACACAAGAGACAGCACAGCCTGGAGCTGGAAGAAGACAGAGGAAGAGAGTTAGGATAGCCACTCCCTAGAATCTTCCAGGGTATGTCTGTTAGGATGAGAATAAGGGTTTAGTCCAAGGGTCTTCAAACTTGGCAAGTTTAAGACTTGTGGACTTCAACTCCCAGAATTCCTGAGCTAATATGACAGGAGGAGGAATTTTGGGAGTTGAAGTCCACAAGTCTTAAAGCTGTCAAGTTTGAAAACCCCTGGTTTAGTCTGACAAGATTCTTTCTATTTTGTGTCAGGAAATAAAGACTCTGACTGCATTGTTTTACATTGCTCTTGGGCTAAGCCTGACAACTGTCCTTCTGAAATGTCACACGGCCCAGGAAAAAAACAGAATCAGTTAAGGAATTGCCAATGGATGCTACATGCTTTTACACTGGCAGAGGGACAAGCTGTATTAGAATCAGCAGAACAGCAGCACTGAATACCATGGAAAACTTTTTTTAAGGATGCTTTTGGTCTGGCATTATCAAGATGGTACTTGTGAGAGTGTAAAGTTCTGCAGCTTTCTCCATGTGTGGAACATCAGCACATATATGGGATTGATGGGACTTCAACCATGGACTCATGGCTTCCATCTAAACTTTTTTAACCCTTATGCCACTGTTTGTACCTTCTTGCTTTCCTTCCTGCAGTTCCACAGAACAATGAGCCATTTGTAGAACAGACGATCTGAAAAGCCCACTGGTGTTTACACTACCTGTTTCTGAAGGAGTTCCATTTCCCTCCTTTCTTTCTCTTCCTTTTCTTCAGCCAAGCGGCGTAGCTCTTCGTCTTTCTCCTGTTCCTGTTCTGCTTCTTTTTGCTTCCTTTCTGCCTCATGCTTCTGAGCTTCCTCCTCTCGGCGTGTTCTTTCCTCAGCTATCTTCTGAGCCAAGGCCTCCTTCTTTTGTCTAACGGAAACAATGGTGCGTGTTAGACAAAGGCATGGATGGGTGAAACTGGCAAAAAATTGTTTTAAACAAATAAAACACCAGTTTTAGCATGTCAGATCACCCATGCCTCTAAAAATGAATACATGATACAGAATGGAATGGAAAAAGGAAGAAATGCTTCCTCTTCTCACTTTATCTGAGGTAAACTGAAGGTTATTAAACTGAAGGTTATACTTGGATTAATTGGGAAATTTCCTTAAATGGAATCATGAGAAATTTGAAATCTTGCTTGGTGCCAGAAAACAAATTATAGTATTTCTGTGGAAGGATATCTAAGACTGCATTGAGCAAGTCTAACAGGATTCACTGTAGCATAGAGATTAAGGGATTGGACTACAAGCAGGAGGAGCCATATTCTAGCCTTCCTTCAGCCATAGAAGCTCATTGGCTGACTTGGAGCCAGCCACTCTCTTAGCTCAACTTTCCTCACAGGGTTGCTGTGGTGAGAAAAAAAATAGAAGAAAAGCTGCTTAAGTACTCCACCTTAAGCTCTTGAACGAAAGGTGGGATATAAATCACCTAGCTAAAAAAGTGGATTCTGAATTACTGGTTTTACTTTTCTCTCTTGAGACAGATAGACGCCGTTTATGTAGAGAACACGAGTAAGAGTGTTCATATTTCTAACAATACTGTATCATTTCAGGGTGCAGGTGGCACAAACTTAGATATATTGCTGGAAGGGTTGATGAGAATGCAAACTCCATGCATTTGTTGAAGTCAGAACAACCTAAGGGGCACTAGAGTGGCTTTTTCTAACATGATGACCCTCCAACATTTTGAAATACAACTTTTATCTCCCAAGCCAACATGGCTGAAATGATGGGAGTTTACCTTGATACAACTGGATAATAAGAGGTTGAGAAATGATGCAGTCCTTTTGAACATCTGCATCATACTGTTCATTTACTTATTTGATTTTTTTATCCATCTTTATTATTCTATAAGTAATTTAAGGTGGTATATATACCTAATACTCCTTTCTCTTTCTATTTTCCCTGCAAGTTCTCTGTGAGGTGAGTTAGGCTGAGAGAGAGTGAGTGGTCCAAATTACCCAGCCGGCTGTCATGCCTAAGGTAGGATTAGAAGTCTTAGTCTCCTGGTTTCTAGGCCAACATCTTAATCATCACACACATCTGACTCTTAGTCAATCAGTATCATCAATTCTATACCAATTATCACATTAATTTTATAGAATGTAGATTGTATAACATCTATATGATCAGCACAATCTATACAAATTATCACATTATACGAAATAGTATAATCTCTATTTTTAAAGAGAAGAAGGAATGGCTTAGAAAGACAGGAGGAAGAGCCACTAGTAAGGCAATGGTCAAATAATTTTTCAAAGAAAATAATTTGAGAACACCTCTTGGACAGGTTCCTCCCTAATTCACATGAAGATAAAGGGAGGAAACAGGAAACACATTCAGACTTACAAGAGCCTGTTACTATAGCTGTTACAGCTATAAAAACAGTCCTGTCTATATGGCATTAGTTACTTAGCCTGGTCTTCATTGTTGGGCGGACACTATTCCAGACACTTATATATCTTTTAACAACCTGCTTTGCTAAATCATGGAGATGAATAGAATGTAAACTTTATACAAATTCTTTGTTTGGGGTGTGTTCAAAGAAGAGATCCAAAAGTGCCTTTTCTCCATTAGGCAACTGTGACTGGATCACCTTTCGATCTCTTCCTGCTCCCTTCTTTGCTGCTCCTCCCGTTCTCGTTGCTCCCGGGCGAGTCGCCTTTTTTCACTAAGCAACCGGGTTGCTTCCTCTGGATCTGTTGTTCCTGCTGAAGATTTGCTGCAGATGGGAGATGGTGAAGCTGCTGAAGGAACAGAGGGCATAACCGGAACAGGACCTAGAAGAAGAGTCAGGTTTATACCATCAGAGTTGGTTTTTTAAAAAGCCATGTACAGTAAAGAACATCTGGAAAAGGAAAATTATAAAATATGAAAATACCATTTACTAGTTGAGGTTGACAAGTGGGTGGGTTCAAAGCAAACAAATGTAAAAGACCTGGGCCAAAAATTACAATTGATGAAATTTAATGTAGTAGTAGTACTAAATAATAATAATAACAACAACCAGTGCAGGTGGTTATTAATGGTCTTCAAATACAGACTCTACAAAGAAGTGCATGAAACCATCAATCACATACTGAGCTGTTGCAAGACAATCACTCAGACTGACTACAAACAACATCACAACACAGTTGCTCAGATGGTCAACTGGAACTTGTGTCACAACTACCATTTGCCTGTAGCAAAGAACTGGTGGGATCATAAGCCTGAAAAAGGGGCTGAAAATGAGCCTGCAAAACTACTGTGGGACTTCTGAAAACAGACTGACGAAGTTTTGGAACACAATACCCCGGATATCACGATTGTGGAGAAGAAAAGGGTATAGATCATCGACATTGCCATACCTGGTGACAGCAAAATCGATGAGAAACAACTTGAAAAAATCACCAGATATCAGGACTTGAAAATTGAACTGCAGAGACTCTGGCATAAACCAGTGCAGGTGGTTACAGTGGTACTCGGCACACTGCCAAAAGACCTAGGCAAGCACTTGAAAACAATTGGCGCTGACAAAATCACAATTGGTCAGCTGCAGAAGGCCACCTTACTGGGATCTGCTCGCATAATCTGCAGATACATCACACAGTCCTAAACACTTGGGAAGTGTTCCACTAGTGATTTGTGATAGGAAACCCAGCATAGTTATCTCGTTTGCTGTGCACATTGTTGTTTTTGTATTAAATAATGATGATGATGATGATGTATTTATTCCATATATACTGTACGACAACCCATTATATATACAAAAATAGGAGTAAATGGGTCAAATGTTTTTTGGGGAAGAGAGCCAATTTACCAAGGCTTCCTGAAAGTTAGCGGGGGGGGGGGTTACAGCCCTGCCAAACATTAGGGGAGGGTGTTTCACAGGGCAGGGGCTGCTACGAAGAAGATGTGCTTCCTGGGTTCTACCAGATGACATTTAAGGGAGAGAACTGGAGTGAACCAACCTGTGCAGGGCGAAACTCATGAATCCAGCCCATGGGATGTTTAAATCTGGCCCGTGGGCCAGTCTGGAAAGAGCAAAAGACTGGCCCGCAGTACCTCTGGTAGTCAAAATGGGGCATGGGGGCTGCATATGGACCCCTGGACCCCATTTTTGGCCTGGATAGGCAGTCCCTTAAACAACCTGACCCTGTGCCATTCAGGACTGTAAAGTGATAAACAACACCTTGAATTGCCAAAAAGAAGCCAATACAGCAGCAGTATAATATGGGAAACCAACAGGTGCTCAGAATTATGCATAGAATTGCTACATTCTGGACCAGTTGCAACTTCTGAGTGGTCTTCAAGGGAAGACCAATGGACCGCACATTGCTGTAATACAAAAAGAAAGTGGCCAAAGCATGAATGATTGTGAACAAGAACAAGAAAAGGAACAACTGGTGTGCACAAGATGAATCTGTAGAAAGACATCCTAGCCATGACTTCTTTAATAGGAACAATGAGCTTAGGAAGAGTCCTGAATTCCATACAAGCTCTGTTCAGGGGAATGCTACCTCACTGAGCAAAGACAACACAATGTCAAACTCTGAGGGTCGGTGTGGGGACAAAACACAAAGCCACTCTGTCTTGCTAGGGTTGAGTCAGAGATGGTTCCTGCCCAGTCACTGGGTCAGCTTCTAGCTTGTAACGGCATTCCTAGCTGGGTATATCTGATTATCATCATCACACTGATGATATGATCTAAGTGCTAGAGCCCACTGTAACTACATAGCCAAAAAGGCATTAAGAGTTGTTAACCTAATCCTATGTAGCTTTTTCTCTGGTAATATTACACTACTAATTAGAGCATACAAAACATTTGCTAGACCAATTATTGAATACAGCTCATCAGTCTGGAACCCACATTATGTATCTGATATTAACACAGTTGAGAAAGTCCAGAAATATTTCACAAGAAGAGTTCTCCACTCCTCTACTCATTGCAGAATACCTTATGCCACCAGACTTGAAATTCTGGACCTAGACCTAGAAAACCTGAAACTATGCTGCCTTCGGTCCAATCTAAGTATAGTATATAAAATAATACATTGCAATGTCCTACCTGTCAATGAATACTTCAGCTTCAACCATAACAACAAAAGAGCACACAATAGATACAAACTCAAGGTTAATCGCACCAAACTTGATTGCAGGAAATAGGACTTCAGCAACAGAGCCGTCAATGTCTGGACTACTCTACCTGACTCTGTGGTTTCTTCCCCAAACCCCAAAAACTTTAACTTTAGACTGTTTACTATTGACCTCAGCCCTTTCTTAAGAGGCCTGTAAGGGGCATACATAAGTGCACCAATCATGCCTACCGTCCCTGTCCTATCGTTTCTTTTCATTTTTCTTATTCGTATCCATCTCATGTATTCATAATTATGTTTATACTTATACCTGTTATTTTGTAAGCAATTGATTTATTTATTGTAAGCAATAAATAAATATTGCATTCTGTGCTGTTGAATGACCTCACCCAGTGGTTTCATGTACTTATTACAGAACAGCAGCAACAGACCTGCACCCCAAGGTATCTCACATTCAGGGGCCTAGGGCCTGATCTTTTCACTAATCGTTGACACTCAATTAATGTAATAACTTCCTATGATTTAATAACCCCATGTACATTTAAAATTACAATTTCCCAGTAATTTTGGGAGAGTTTTGGAAGACCCAATACTTTAGTGAGACCACAGGCAACTTTGGTGATAGACAGGTTGTGCACTCCTGTGGGCCATGGCTTAGTGAGGAGGATGTAGCTCTATTAAGTCAGAATTGTCATTAACAAGAGAATTATTGCCCAAGGAGATCTTAAAATCTGAAATTATCACTAGTTAGAACATGTAGTGTATGTGACTATTATGACAAGTATTTCAATCTAGTCATTTAAATTATATTCCACTTTGATTTAAAAACAAAACAAAACAAAAGCTTATAGTCCATCTTTAAACAAATAGTCCCAGTGATTTCATGTGGACATCTAGGTCCATTCTAGCCTGTGATTCTGGTAGTTTCTCTGCTCTACCATTTAACTAGTAACCAACTCTGCTTAGCTTCCCAACCTAAACCATTGGAAATAAACCTGTTAGAATTACCCACATTGATTCAAAACAATATCCAAAAAGCTACATTCTGAAAAGGGAGCAAAGCACTTAATTGGCTAAGGAATGTTTTGGAAGGCTGATAACCTGATCCTTACTTTGAGTAGACTCTAGTTTACAAGACTCTTCACTTGTAGCTACTCTGGGATTTGAAGCTGTTTTTTTAAGGTCTGACTTTTGTTCGGTTATCTTCTCAGATTCCTGCAGAGTTCCCTTTTTCCCATGTTTTGGTGGACGAATGTTGCCAGGGGAAGGAGGGCGAGTTTGAATGGAAGGTGTTTTGGAAGATCCGGAGAGCAAAATGATCTTTCTGGGTGTTCCTGGCAGAGCAGGCATCGATCTGGAGGCATGCCTATTTGAATCACAGAGGGACAGCAATCACAACTCAGATTTAGACTTTGAATAACTTTATTGTCACTTTAAATCAGAGGCCTCCAAACTTGGCAACTTTAAGACTTGTGGACTTCAATTTCCAGAATTCCTCAGCCAGCTTCGCTGGGAGTTGAAGTCCACAAGTCTTAAAGTTGCCAAGTTTGAGGACCCCTGCTTTAAATCTACACTAATCGGCATACATTAAAATGAAATTTCATTGCATACAGCTCTCAAAGGGTCACCACCTCCAATAGATACTACATAATCATGTCAAAAATATAAACAAACAAACAAATAATACAAATTATGCATATACTCACATACCTACATATATTATATGACACAGGGAAACAACACAGTCCAGTTTGGATGCATATACGTACATTTAGATTATTTATATTATATCGTTGAGTTACAGTTACTCGATTTTATTGCTTTGAAACATTTCCCCATCTCTATCCATTCTTCCCTACTCTTTTGAAGCTTTGAGAGGAGTCGGGGGAAAGAACCTATCTGAGAAACATCATTTTATCTTGTATAAAGAGGACCACAAATAGATATTATGCCTCAATGAGGCACAGCTTAGTACACTTTGCTAAAGATTTATTAAAATTGATCTGCTTGTTTTCTCAAAAAAGAACAGGGTTCTGCTTCAGCTAGAAATCAGCAATGTGGTACCATTTTCATAATCCCAAAATGACTTTGACTGGGCTTTTTTTTTTTTTTTTTTTGGAGCCTTGCCTCACATTAGAGTAATCCACTTTTGAAGGTAAGGTACTTTCAAAACAATTTGTGATATTACAATGGCTACTGAAAGAGAAAAGATAGGAGTTTCCAAGTTTTAGCATTGCCTGCTTTGCTATAAGACTTCTATTCAACATCTTTATCTTGCAAAGGCTGTAGAAGGGGAAAAAGAGATTATTGCTGTGTGTGCACAAAAACTATGACTGAAATTGCTAATCTATATATTTGGAGATATTTTTGAGGTACTTGGATAAGAATAGCTATTTATGCAATGAATGGGTCTTTAAGATACCTATTGCTTTACTATTGAGAGTTAGCTATGATTGTTTGCAGAGTCTAGAAAGGGAAACCACAGAACACTCTTCTTAGAGAAAAGAACTTCTTCTATATATATATATATGCCCCTGTGATTTCTCTGTTTGTAGACAGAATTTCTAGAAATATTTGATGACACAATTTGGACTAAGGTACTTTCCCCTGATTGATGATCACTAAACATACCTGCTACAGACATCATCATTCCCAAGTGGAATGATGATTGGGAATTACTAGATTGGGAAGCATGGTTTTAAGATCCCACTGACTGTCCATCAAGACTGGAGAAAAAAATCAGACTGGGGTGTTCCGTTAATACAGGGGTCGCCAATCATTTGGACCTCAGGGACCACCAAACTCATCATTTTAAATCCCACAGACCAGAGACCCTAGGAAAATCGCCCCAAAAGTCTGCAGGAAAATTCCTCACCCATTTTCCTACCAATTGATCGTTCTTTATTTGGGATTGCAGGGTACTATCTCCATCTCCGTTCTCGGGGGGGGGGGGAG